CAGTGCTGAGCTGCTCTGAATCTCACTGGCTGCCTGGAAAGCTGAATTAACTCTTTGATATATTGGAAGGTTTGAAAGCTTGAAGGAAATTTAAATTATAGCCTTTCATTTCCTTTCTAAATGTATTTTCCTTCTGTAATTCTAAAAGTGGTTTTGCCTTGCACAAATTTATTACTTATGGAGTAGAATTTGAGTTCATTGTTCCCCTGTTACTGATTGTGATTTTATGTATTTGTTTGAGTGAATTTCCATCAAATTTCTCACTTGCTGTGGGACTAACAGTTGCTATTGGAGACTATGCCCTTATGTCCTGTGGAAAATCACAGATATTAATGTTTCAAAACGACATCAAAAGGAGTGTGGGCAGCAGATCAAAAGAGGTGATTCTTCTCCTCTACTCTGCTCTCCTGAGACCCACCTGGAACACTGCACACAGTTCTGGTGTCCTCAATGTAAGAAGGACATGGAACTGTTGGAGCAAGTCCAGAGGAGGCCACCAAGTTGCTAAGAGCACTGGAGCATCTCCCTGTGAGGACAGGCTGAGGGAGTTAGGCCTGTTCAGCCTGGAGAAGATCAGACTGTGTGGAGACCTCAGAGCAACTTCTCAATATCTGAAGGGCCTTCAAGGAGCTGGAGAGGGACTCTGTGTTAGGAACTGCAGTGATAGGACAAGGGGTAATGGGTTCAAACTGAAGGAGGGGAAGTCTAGGTTGGATGTGAGAAAAAGGTTTGTTCCTGTGAGGGTGGTGAGACACTGGCACAGGTTGCCCAGGGACGTGGTGGCTGCCCCAACCCTGGTGGTGTTCAGTCCAGGCTGGATGAGCCTTGAGCAACCTGATCTAGTGAGGAGGTGTCTCTGCCCAGGGCAGGGGTTGGGACTAGATCATCTGTAAGGTCCATTCCAACTGCTGACTATTAATCGACCTTTCTTCAGTTAAAAAACCCCATAATGATTTAATGTAACTAACAATATCTTCTCTAGTACATCACAGGATTAAAACTTCAGAGGATGTTAAAGCTGAAGCTTAAAATATGTTGATCCAAAGCTGATATAGTAACTCATGAAAGGACAAGCATAGAATTAACTGTAACAGGCAAGATTAGTTTCCTACAGCCTAATCTTTGGTCTAACATCTTGACATTAACGTCACTGAAAGTAAAATGAGCAATCCCTCATGCAGTAATTGTTTAGGAAGCATCTTGAGAATTGTCTCTACATTCCTGTTAGTGTAACTCACACAAAAATGGTGAAATTTCTGCAATAGATTTCAAAGTCAGGGGATATATGAAATACTCATGTCAGGTGTCTGTCTACCCCTCCTCTAACTGACAGACAGTCCAGGCTGACAAACTGAGGTGCAGATGTCACCTGCTGAGGAGTGACACATACATTTGAGAGGGCAACTATGGGGTAGAGGCAACATCTGTAAATGTTCAGCTGTAGCTGAACTCCAGTCCTTAGCATCAGTGATCTCTCCTGCAGCTCCATCTCTTTACATTCCAACCTCTTGTCATGCAATATGCAGGAGAGTTTCATTTCTTTGGGGAATTTGTGCTGTTACATATAAATTAATTCTCTTTTGCAGGTGAATAGGGTATATGTCATTTTTGATGTACCTACTACTGTGTCGATGATCAAGTTATGGAATTATGCCAAAACTCCTCAGAGAGGTGTGAAAGAGTTTGGTGTAAGTAGTTTTTCTATGCATTTTGTATGTTCTGGTGAGTCAGCTTGCTGATTTCTGTACCCATTGTCAATTTACTCAAGTGTGAGGCCATAGAATCCCAAAGAATGAGGTTCATCTCATTTAACTCTGCATTTGGTATTGAAATGACTAATCTGTGCCAGTCATCTGCCCTCCCTTTTTTTTGTCCAGGGAAGGAACACTTCAACTGATTTTTTTCTTAGATAATTGTTTTAAGATAGGATAATGCTTTCCTTTTTATCACTGACTATGGAGTAGGCCTGGAAGACTAGTTGAAACTACAAACACAAGTTTTAGACAGCCAAAGTGAGGTGAGATTCATTAATTCCTTGATTTAAGAGTGATTCACTCCAGTGAATAGAACAGCAATTATGTAAAACATGAAATACATTTTTAATTACCTCCTTGAAAGCTGCATTAGAAACAGCAGTGAGAAGATAAAAACTTAGGGGGTGGAATCAAACCCCAGCAGCGAATAGAGACAAGTGGAAGTTTTAAGGAACAAAAGCTAAATGAATAACCAGATCTGTGAGATTTCTGGTTAATTGCTTGAGAGAACTGCTGAAAACAATTTCTAGATAGTTTTTCTTGGTTATTTCTTAGCTTCTGGTGGATGACTTGCTGGTCTACAATGGGATTCTGGATATGGTGAGCCACGTGGTGACAGGAATCCTACCAACCTGCGAGCCAGTGGTCCCTTATCACACCATCCTTTTCACAGATGATGAGAGGATTTGCCATCAGGAGAAGAGAACTGTTATTAGGTATGTGAGTGGATCTTGAGTGGAAGAAAGGATCTTGGTTTTAAAAAGTTTTTTTGTATATGGCTAATGAGGAGAGGCTGAGGGAGCTGGGAGTGTTCAGCTTGGAGAGGAGGAGGCTCAGGGGAGACCTTCTCACCCTCTGCAACTCCCTGACAGGAGGTTGGAGTCAGGTGGGGGTTGGTCTCTTCTCCCAGGCAACCAGCAGCAGGACAAGAGGGCACAGACTCAAGCTCTGCCAGGGGAGGGTTAGGTTGGATGTTAGGAAGAGGTTTTTAATGGAGAGAGTGCTCAGGCACTGGAATGTGCTGCCTAGGGAGGTGATGGATTCACCATCCCTGGAGGTTTTCAAGGTGAGACTGGATGTGGCACTTAGTGCCATGGTCTAGTAACTACAGTAGGGTTGGACTTGATGATCTTGGAGGTCTTTTCTAACCCTGCTGATTCTATGATTGTCAGCAGTATGTGTATTGCTATAGAAAATTCCCTTTCAAAGCATACTCAACATCACTTAATGGGAAATAAGTAGGTTTGTAGATCCTAGAACCAAATTACAGGCATTATTTGTAAGCATCTTTTAGCACTCACTGGGTTTCCTGATTTATATTTACATATGTTTTCATGAAAGCAAATAAATACAAAAGGGAAAGTTCAGGCTTCCTTAGAGAAGGAATAATAAATCCCAATGATATCGCATAGAGGGGAAAATGACAATTAATGAAAAAGAACTAAGTGTCAAAATTAAAGGAAAGAAATCCTCTGAATTGACACAGATGCTAATTAAGCAACAATCAGCATTCTACTATTCTCTAAACATGCTAAAATAATGAACTTTTAAAATGGGAAATGAGTTGCATTGGGAGGAATGACCCTTTGAAACCACTAAGTTGGCAATCTCACAGGAAATGTGGTGAAATGCAGTGAAAAATGCACTTACATTGAGAAGGGCAGGATTGATAGAGCCTAATAAACAATCCCTGGCAAGGAAAATACATAGTGAAAGAATAATTTCTTTTAAATGGGATTGAAAAGTGCAAAATAAAAGCTTATAGAAATAAACACTTTCTTACACATTGGGCAGCTAGCAAGTAGACTATCTTGCACATGCATTGCTTGGGGGGAAAAAAAAGGCAAGTTTTGCATGGAAAAATGGCATGTGATCCATTCAGGAGAGTATTCAAATATTTAGAGATGAGCAGAAGGAACATGAGCTGTCCTGTTTAGGAACAGAAGTTCACATTTGCCTACAGGGTTTGTTTTCCTGTGTTTCTCTACAGCATTGGCTCTTAGCCACTGGTACTGTCAGACATGGAAATAAATTATTACTGTTTGGATGTTTTGTGTTAGACTCGTCTTTCTGTACCAGTGGTTGTGTTGTCAGGGTAAAATTTGGAGGTGAACCATTTTGCAAGTGTATAAGTTACCGAAATGAAAATGTCTTGAGGAAGTAAAAGTCCTGAGAAATTTTCCAGTGGGATATAAAAAGGAGGAGGACAACAAATGAACCTTTACTTTCTTTAGCTTCAGATCTTTCTGTGAGTAGAGTTATTTTATTGGAAGCAGAGAAGCACCAGTTGTAATCACAGATCCTTTGCACATGTGTATAAGATATATCTTTTGATGTGCTTTTAAGACGAGTTTACTTTTGGGGTCACAAAAACTACATAGTCTGTTTTCCAGCTGAGAACATGCTGAGCCTCTTGTCTTCTAGACTTCTGTGCAGGAGCTTTCTCGGTCTTAGCCTGGTTTGCAATCAGTTTTTCCCTTTTTTCACTTCCCACCCTACTAAAATATAGGGTACCTCAGCACTAAGAGACATGCTGGATAATATCTCTCCATTTTAAAAATGCTCTGGAGCTTTTATATATTGTTAGTTCTAATTTTGGCCTATTCTCTTTCACATGTCACTGCTCAGTATTTTATGACCCCTGAACTTGAGTCTGTTATTATCATCAATAGCCTGAGTTCTGATTTACTTCAGTATTGGCTCTCCTGCTTCACTCTGACAGTCTGAGAGACACTGCATTTCTCTCCCAAAATAGAAACCCATTTTGTGCAGGATCTGTAGAGAAAAGAAAGATACACTCCTTTTGTTCCAAGGCCACAAATGTTTTGTTTCCTCTGTGTGAAAGGATGTTATTAGTGATGTTTTCATTACCTTTCAAAGCAGCTCACATTTTTCCCTGTAATTTGTTTAGTTTAATTTAACTTTGAAGTTATTTCTTCTTTCCCAGAAAGAAATGGTTAAAATTTTGTAGCAGCCTGAAAACAAAACTTGTCACAGCAAAAGAATTTGGTCTAGTTCAGAAAACTTTCACATAATGCTATTTCAGTATTACAAAGCAGTGTGAAGTTCCATACAGGGATTTTTATACCCTCTTTGTACAGCTCTGATTTAGCATCTCACTTTGGTTAATGTGGTTCAAGCTGTGTAGGCAGCCTTGAAAATTGTAGAGTGAATATGATATTTATATTTGAATGTGTGCCTGAATGAATGCCACTAATTAAAACTGGCACAAAATCCTTCAGGTGGATGCAGACAGAATGCTGTTCTGTTCTGGATAGTCTCATGTGATGTGGCTGTGCTGTGTTGCTTTGTTTAGCCTCCAGGACCTAAATAACTTCTTGGGTAACCTTTTTCCATGACTCTCCTAACTTTTCACAATGCTGATTATTTTGGCCATTGTACTGATTTTAATCTTTCCAGCAATCATATGGGAGACCAGGATGTACGAATGATGAATGAAAATAAGATTGTCACAAACAGCAAAAAGAAGCAAGTTGTGGCTGATCCAGGTGAGTTCTGTCTTCTACAGTTTTCTTCTGTTCACCTCCTGCAGACACAATGTGGATAATGAACCTAGTTACAGACCTAAACTGGGACAAGTGAGGAGTCTTATACCTTTTACATGTATTTAACTCTACATTTTCTACCATTGGGTACAAATGGGTACAAATTGAAAGAGGGGAAATTTAGGTTAGATAATAGGAAGAGATGTTTTCCTGTGAGGGTGGTGAGACACTGGCACAGGTTGCCCAGGGAGGCTGTGGCTGCCCCAACCCTGGCAGTGCTCAAAGTCAAGTTGGATGAAGCCTTGAGCAAACTGCTCTGGTGGGAGGTGTCCCTGCCCAGGGCAGGGGGTTGAGGCTAGATGATCTGTAAGGTCCATTCCAGCCCCTAAAAATTCTATGATTCTGCCATAAAAAACAAACTATGAATTTCATAATCTGGTGGATTTATGTTCTATATCTAAACCTGAAAGTAGAGGACATGGATGGAAGACATAGGTGATGTGTAGCTGTGGCCTGTACCAACCCAAAGTCCTCAGGAAAGAAACTGACTGAAGATAAATTGAAAACTGATGTTAATTGTGCAGGTTCAGAGATACCCTTTGCAATAATAGGCTCATGGCATCCCCCCTGGCCTTTTAAGCAGTTTTAGAGGTGGTGCAGATGTGTCTAAGAATGAGCTGCTTGTCGCTCCTTGAGCAAATCCAAAATCACAGTAAGTGTAACAAGGGGGAAAACATGTTGACTTTATTCCTCCCACTGTCTTTCTAGTTGGTCTTTTCTCTTACAAAGTGATAATTAAAAAGACAACCTCTTTTTTTTTCCCAAGGAGAAAGAGTAGATTGTATTTATAGTCTGAAGAGTCCCAGTCATTCATTGTAAATTACTCAGAATAGCTCCCTAAATACATTACAAATTCTCAGCCAAGCTGGTATATTCATGATTGGTTTTCTCTCCTGAGCATGACACTTTCTCCAATTAGTTCTCCAGAAAGTGTTACAGAAATTATTTGATGGCTTTTAATAACAGTTCTGTAGGAGAAGGATTTGAAATGCCATTGCCTGTACAAAGACAGCTTGAAAGTTATTAGTATATTAGCACTAGCTGCAGCAAAAGTATTTTGGACATCTCTGTGCTCATTGTAATGACATCCTGGGCTCTAGATCAGACATGACCAGCAAAGAAGAGCTGTCATTGCCATGGCCATCACATCTGTTGTCCAAGCATCAAGGACACAAAATGCCTCTCAAGTCACCAGCTGAGGGTTGCCTATTGCCCTCTGCCCCATATCTCCCCTGTAGTACTGACTGTTATCAGCCACAGTGGGTGTTGATAACAGATTTGTAGAATGATTTGGGTTGGAGGAAACCTCAGAGGATTCCCCTCCTGAGGGAGGGTCCAGCCTCCTCCTCAGGATGGTTGAATTCAGACCAGAGTCCACAGGAAAGTGATCTCACAGGTCTATGAAAACACTCACAGCCCTCACTGACAATGTAAGAGGCATTACTGAGAAAACCAGCTTAGCTTTCATTCTGGGATGGAAAGAAATCAGCATTTTTCTTCTCATTTTACTCTGTGGCTTCACTGTTAGTGTTCAGTCCTAAAACAGCAGTTCCTTTTCCCTAACAGCTTTGCGTCCAAAAACCTGCATGTGTGAGAAAGGACTGCAGAGGAGGAAAAGATAACAAGGAAAGTCCTGAATGCATCCAGCCCTAAATAACTGCAATCTACAGGAAAAGCATCATCCAAATGGAAGATTTTCCATGTCTGATGCTGCTGCTAAACCACCTCCTGGTTTGTGAGAGGAAGTTTTATTTGCTACAGGAGCTTTTTGTCATAATGAAATTAAAAGCATGAATTCAGTTTTCTGGGATTTTTTTGTCATTATCTGTCTGATTTTTCTCCCGCTCATCTCTTAATTGCAAATCCAGGGAGGAAGGAGCACAAAGGAGAGAGTGAGAACCTTATTGCTAACTGGCAGCTGTTCCTGCATGAGTACTGATGGAGGAACAGGATGGTTATAACAGGTTTTTCAGATGATTTCTCAAGCTTTTATTCCTAGCTGGATGATCACAAAGATCCTCACTAGAAGGAAGTGTTGCTTTTTTTTTTTTCTGACGTTTGTAAATAGTTCTCTGGAAAATGCACTTAGAGGAAATATTCTTGACCTGTCTGTCTCTGGGTGGCCACTGTATGCTTTGATGCCATAACAGGATGGTTATAACAGGTTTTTCAGATGATTTCTCAAGCTTTTATTCCTAGCTGGATGATCACAAAGATCCTCACTAGAAGGAAGTGTTGCTTTTTTTTTTTTCTGACGTTTGTAAATAGTTCTCTGGAAAATGCACTTAGAGGAAATATTCTTGACCTGTCTGTCTCTGGGTGGCCACTGTATGCTTTGATGCCATTGCTCTCTGTAGGAGCTGGCACTGTTCCTGACATCTGCAGAGGTCCCACTGGGCTTGCAGAAGTGTGCTGGATGCTTTTAGGAAATGGAGATCAGGGAGTGGGTTTATCAAGGTTTAATAGGTATGTTTGAGCTGTCACTTCTCTTATGTTTTGCAGTGAAATAATTATTTCTTTCATTATTTCACTACCATGGAAAAAGCAAATGAGGTGTTTTGCCTGAAGTGCCATTGTCAGACACTCTACAGGTTGTTCAGAGTCCTCCTGCTGCAGAGCAATGTTCTTCTCTCCTGTTTGCCCTGACTTTGGTTATATGAACAAGAAGGCCATACTTGTGTGCTGCTCCAACCAGATCTGTTGCCAGCAACATACCCTCACCTCTGAGAAATGGTAAATGCATTTTAACTGGCGGAAGGTAAGGAGAGAAGTGGATTTTTAAACACAGAATACTCTGCATATGTATTCATTTACACAGAAACTCTAACCAAACATGCTGCAGGATTTGCTATGCAAATGTACTTCTCACTGAAACTTGGCAATGGTGACAACCTGTAAATCTCTTCCATAGAAGATCCTTCCTTTCTCATTTTGGAACTTGCTCATTCCAACTCAAGCCACTTTATAATTCCATGACTTTTTCCAGAGAGAACTGAACACTGAAGTCAGTATGTGCTTTTAGACATAAACCAGAGATACTGTTGCAGCTCTTGATATAGAATCAAATTGTGCTGCTTCCCTTTCTGTCCTGAGTCAGGAGTGTAATATCTTGTATATTTGCTTATTCAAAGCAAACTTTTTCACTGCTGGTGGCTAAGATGAAAAGACAAAAGATAACTATGCATTTCCCAGATTCTGTGTGTCAATGGAGCAACAAAATGTATTTTGTACTAAATACAAACCACTTTACTTATAAGTGTGAATAGTGTGTGTGAGTGTACTGTACTTTGTTTAAGGACTCTTCCCAAACTGCACTGACAGAGGAATCCTCTGTTGTTCTGAGAACTCTCTCCCTTGGGGCATTTCCCAGTGCAGCTCTTCCAAGAATGAAGATCTAGTTTTTGCTCCAGACCAGGTAACAGGCAACTCCCAAACTAAAAAGAGGAGCTAAGAGGAGAGTTATTGACAGGGCTCAGAGCAGGTATAAATGTCTGTGTTTGGAAGAGGAGAGGCTGTAGCAAGGTTTTCAAGAGTTAAGGCACAACTACAGATCTGTCATGGAGCCAATGAACAGATTGTTTATTCTTCTAAGAAAACTGCATTGAATGTGTGGAGAAGTGGAAGCTGCTGTGTTTCCTGGCACAGAATAGCACCTTCTTGTTGATCAGAAGAGGGGGAGAGGACTTCCTATGCTCATCTGTCTTCTCTGTGTCTGGTTGGAACATCTCAAGTCCTGCATGATGGACTAATGATTTTTCAACCCTAATCCTTTAAGGTAACTCCAGGTATTTTAAATTACTGAAAAATACTTGGTCAAGCTCAGATGGGTCACAGTTCTCTCTGTTTTCCTGCCACCAACTCTTCCTCACTGGTCAGTTGGTAACTGCAGCCAATTTTCACACCTTTTGCCCCTGGAAATCTCTGTCCAGTGCAACTGGTCTGGCAGAGTGTAACATCTTCAACCTGTTGCCATCCTCTCCTAGCAACCCTTGTACCCATTCAAGAGATTCCCCACAACTGCCACACGGTGGAGAGACCATGAAAGTCTTGGAAATACGTTTTGCAAAAGTTAAGTTGTGGAATTTCCCCCCTGCAGTGTCTGTGTCTGAAGGAAGGGCTTGCCATCCCACTGTCTGCTCTGGGATGACAGACTCCACAAGGCACAGCCTAATGTAGTCCTTGATTCCAGTCAGTTATGTATGGAAAGTAGCATAATGTTTAGAAAATACTTCATTCATCTCTGTGGGGTAGGAGATGTCAGTGTTTGCCCTCTTAATTGGAGCTGAGGTGTAATGACCCGTTATATAACCAAAGATAATTAAGTGTCCTAGTCAGTCCTATACACTCCAACAAAGACACTTGACTCATTTCCTCAGTGAATCAGGGTTTTTTTAAAAAAGGTTTATTCTATTTTTCACCTTTTTTAACCAACTGCTCACAAGTACATTCATGTCAGACTAGCATTTACAGGAGGGACAAGAGGAAGAGTAAACATGCAATCAAGAAAATCCCCATGGAGCACTTCAGTCAATGTCAGGCACAGTTTCAGCAGGTGTAATTCAGTGAGAATGTGCCCAGTAACATCATTTGACATTGTCAAAAGCACAGCAAAGGAAAAGGAAGGATTAATATGAATTCTGGCTGAAGCCTTTGATACAAATTATTAAACTTTCACCCAATTCCAATTTCTGGGCTGCTCAAAAACCTTTATGCCACAGTTGCTCACCTTTACCTGTTGTGATTTGATTTAGAGGGTTTGGATCAAGATAACAGAAATGAGTTTGTTTGTCCTACAGTGACACTGAGAAGGGCAGAGGATAAAGAAATAATCTGTGAGGAAGTACATGTCAGGCTGCCTATTTTTTGATCTATAAAATGATACTTTTATCAGTCTTCACAGTGTAATCTGAGACCTGGGAAGGCCTTGCAACTTCTCCATTCCTGCCTTTTTGTGCTTTAATCCAGTAGCATTTGAACAGCAAGGGAGAAGCACCTGTCAGTGGGCAAGGGAAGCAAGCAGTGCTGCAGTGTAAAAGGCAGCACAGAAGACATGGAAGCCTGTGTATTTCTGAGTCAGAGACTCATCCATGAACCTGTAAGAGCTGCATGAGGAGCTGCACAGAGCAGCTAAATTAATCTGAGTCCTTCTCATGGCTTAGACTGGCCTGGGATGTTAACTGCACTACAGCATCCTGCTTAGGTGATGTTTTCTGTAAGATTTACTGGTCCTGCTGGACTTCTATCATGTTCCTGCTGTGTAGGTCATTCCCCATCATGATGTCCAGCCCTGCCATTTCAGGGATGTGTGCCAGGCTGGTCACACCTGCAGGAGCCTGACAGTGCCTGTGAGGAACTGGGTGTTGTGAGACTGGACAAAGATCTTGTACACCAGGTAGGACACTGGAACAGCCAGAGGTAGGACTTGCTGCCAGTGAGGATGTGAGAGGGAGAGCAGTGGGTGAGGGAGTTTGACTGTTGAGTCTTTAAACTTACTTAAGTTTCCAGAAAAAGCTCACTTCCCAGCACAGGGCAGGGAAGAGCAAACATGAAGGGCTGTATTGACATCTGAGTTCTGCCACATGCAGGGGACAAAGTCTGCTTTCCCTTTGATTGATCTGTAAGACAAGCATTTCCCATTCCCTCCTGCTCTCTGCTTCAGCAGTCCTCACTGTGGGATGCACCTCTACACTAGCCTGGGGAGCACAGTGAGTGATTAGAGTCCAAACCAGCAGGTTGTGCAGGGATGCCTTAGGCTGGTCTGCAACTTCTGGGGCTGCTGAGCTCTAACAGGAGCTGCTCTTTTAATAAAAGTCACTGAAGTAGCCAAATCTCTTCCAATATTATTCAAAAACATAAACTCCAGCACACACTACCTAGTAATGGCTTCACCAGTACTACACATACTGTAACTGTGCACACTGCAGCACTTGAGACACCTTACTGTATTCCCATTTCATCATGTCTATCTTTTAGCTGCACCATCATGCTTAGAACATCACTCCTTTTGCCCTCCAAAACAGTCCAGTTCAGAATTACTGTTCTTTACCTTGCAGGTGTGACCAACCTGTTTTGCTCGTCAGACATATGTGCTCAGATGTGTCCCAGCATTAGTTTTGTTTTGTGGATGTCATGTGCAGGGTCAGGAGTTGGACTAGATGATCCTCAAGGTTCCCTTCCAACTCTGATTATTCTGTGATCTCATTTCCCATATACAGGCCACTTGCTGTCTGGCCTGGGGTGCCACCAGCCCCTGTGGTCACAGCATGGTGGATCCTGTTGGCATGGGGCCCCTCATTTCCAGGGGTGTCAGTGCTGTGTGTCTGCCTCCTGGATCACTGTCTGTTCCAAAATGCTGCAGAGATAACTGTTCATTTTGGAGGTGTGCATTGACATGTCTCCTCTAAAGAGCAGAGAGGAGCATTAGCACACTGGGAGGATGTTTGCTTCCATTCGTGTGCTGAGTTCCTGCTGTTCAGAGCACAAGGAAAGGCTTCCTGGCTCAGTGGCCTTTTTGCCCATTTCTGTGACTATTTGCTTGTTTGCTGAGAAATGACTTACAGCCCATGTGAGACACAAACATCCCTTTATCACACAGCTTGTATCACCCTAATGGAATTCTGTC